CCACAAATGATGCCGTGGCGAGTTACCTTGATCAGTGAAACGGAGTAGCATGCAGTGGATCAGCAGCTGGGGAAGCCGTCAAGCTGATGTCTTGGGTCAGCCTGCACAGGCCCAGGAGCGAACCGTATGCACCTTCGCGGACCTGCCGAATGAGGAAAGATGGGGGAAAAAAGGACAAGGGGGATGAGGGAGAAGAAGAGGAGGAGGAGGAGGAGGAGGAGGAGGAGGAGGAGGAGGAGGAGGAGGAGGAGGAGGAGGAGGAGGAGGAAGGAGGAGGAGGGAGGAGGAGGAGAGGAGGAAAAGGAGGAGGAGGAGGAGGAGGAGGAGAGGAGAGGAAAGAGGAGGAAAAGGAGGACGAGCAGGAGGAGGAGTGAGGAGGATCGAGTGAGGAGGAGGGAGAGGAGGGGGAGGGAGAGGAGTGAGGAGGGAGGGGGAAAAATGAGCGGATGAAGAGAAGGATGAAGAGGAGGAGGAGGAGGAGGAGGAGGAGGAGGAGGAGGAGGAGGGAGGAGGAGGAGGAGGAGGAGGCGGAGGAGGAGGAGGAGGAAGGAGGAGGAGGAGGAGGAGGAGGAGGAGGAGGAGGAGAGGAGGAGGAGGAGGAGGAGGAGGTGGAGAGGAGGAGGAGGAGGAGGAGGAGGAGGAGGAGAGGAGGGAGGAGGAGGAGGAGGAGGAGGAGGAGGAGGAGGAGGAGGAGGAGGAGCGGAGGAGGAGGAGGAGGAGGAGGAGGAGGAGGAGGAGGAGGAGGAGGAGCAGGAGCAGGAGCAGGAGGAGGAGGAGGATGATGTGGAAGAGGATGGCGACCTCTTGGGGCCTCCAGGGGGTCTCTTGGGAGCCTCATGGAGTTTCGAGGCGCTCTTGGGGCCATCTTGGAGGACATCGATCAAAGAAGGGGATGGCCGCAATTTGCCTCCCACCTCGAGAGCCCCTCACATCGCCTCTTGGACCTCTCTTGGGCCCCTCTTGCAGCGCTCTTGGGCGCTCTTGGGGCCGTTTGTGGGCTCTCTTGGGCCTCTCTTGGGGCCCTCTTGAGCCATCTTGGAGCCATCTTGAGACGAAACGTGTGAGGGGTGCGCCGAAACGGAGGTGGAACTGCATGCGGACCCCGCCGTTGGGGCCTTCGGTGGAGAACCCTTCTGGGGCCACGAAGCGTGTGAGGGGTGCGCGGGAACCGGGGCGGAACTGCGTGCGGACCCTGCCGTTGGGGCCTTTGGTGGAGAACCCCATGTGGCCACGAATCGAGTGAGGGGTGCGCAGAAACGGAGGTGGATGCGGACCCTGCCACTGGGGCCTTCGGTGGAGCACCCTGTGGGGTCATGTATCGTGTGAGGGATGCGCCGAAATGGGGGTGGAACTGTGTGCGGACTCTGCGAATGGGGCCTTCGTTGGAGCACCCTGTGTGGCCGCGGAACGTGTGACGGGTGCGCCGAAATGGAGGTGGAACTGCATGCGGACCCTGCCACTGGGGCCTTCGGTGGAGCACCCCATGGGGCCACGAAGCGTGTGAGATGTGCGCCGTCATGGAGGTGGAACTGCATGTTGCCCCTACCACTGGGGCCTTCGGCGGAGCATCCTATGGGGCCATGAAGCGCGTGAAGGGTGCGCAGACATGGAGGCGGAACTGCATGCACCCACATGACGACGATGAGGACATGCGCAAGGCAGAGGCGAGGGATGGGAGGAGGGAGGAGGAGAGGAGAGGAGAGGAGATGAGAGGAGAGGAGAGGAGGACGCGGGGCGCTGTCTCTTCAAAACGGTGACCCAACACCACAGGACGACCTGGAATAGCCAAAATCTTGCAAGACGTTCGGCACGCCGTGCACCCATGTGGCAAGACCACAAGGGGTTGGCTGAGGACAGAAAGCGTGCGTAGCGTCGCGATCCGTGAGCCAGGAGAAATAACAACGGGGAGTATGAGGGGGTTGGCCACTGGGGACATGGATGGCGGAAAGCGCGCGTAGCGTCGCGAGGGGCCAGTGTGAGGGGTTTGTTAGGACCCGCCCCAGATGACAAGAAACGCGCGTTGTGTCGCGATCCGCTAGTTCGGAAAATCAACAAGCGGGAGTGTGAGGGGGCTGGCAGGGGAAAACCCAAGACCTAATCACCCGAACTTCGGCCATTCTCGGGCCAAAATGGCCCAAGTCGGCCTCGAGAACGCACGGGAGGCACCCAAAACGGCTCAAGAGTCTCCCAAGGCGGCGGCCTGACATACCTCCAGGACGGTCTCAGGGAGGCCCGAGAGGACCCCAAGACGGCCCAAGAGCGCTCAAAGCGAGACCAAGGCGGCCTTAAGACAGCTAGAGAGGCCCCCAAGACGCCCCAAGAGGCCCCCCAAGGGACCCCAGTCCATCGGGGAAGCCCATATGTTTAGCACATTCGCTTCTTTGGTCTGAGCAGCGGCCCAAGACGGCCCAACAGGACCCCAGGACCGCCCCAAGACGGCCCAAGAGGTCCCCGAGAGGGCCCCACGACGGCCCCAGTGGGCTCCAAGCGCGTCTGCGGATAGGGCGACAGTCAGCGCAATGGGAGGGGCAGGACGTCAGATGTGGCGCACCTAGCCTGTCCCCCTCCTTTTTCCCTGCTCCCTCCCCTCTCCCTTCTCCCTCCCCCCGGGCAGCTCCAGCTTCTGATTCCGGCCCGCCCGCGTCAGCCGCATCTGACCACCGAGAAGAGGCGAGACGCTCGGAGCACGTTTGAGCGATGGCTCCGTGCCGAGGGAGCTCTTCGGCTTTCTTTCGTCCGAGACTGCTTAGGGATCCGATGCTCCGATACGATCGGACCGGGGTGTGAGGTCGGGGTCGGCTCTGGGAGGAGGCTCTGATGTTCTTCGGGCCTGCTGGACGTTCCTGTGCATCCCGGGGGAGGGCGCCCTTGAGCGATCTGGTGGCTTGGGGTGTTCTGGCCGGCGGAAGGCCTCATGTTCTTGAAGGGTGCTCTTTTGTCCTAGGTCCGACTGTATTCTTTGGACGCCCGAAGTGGGTATGGAGAAAGGGTACGATGCCCCACGGCAAACGTCGTCGCAAACCGACAGCGGTCGCTGTTGGGCAGGCGGCCCTCTGTCTCGAGTCGACAACGTCCGCGGCGACGCGGACAGCGAATCCAGTCCAAGAGGAGCAGGAGTTTCTGTTGGGCTCGTACCCATTCTTTCCGCACCCGCTTCGATCGTCCCGATATTCGAGAGAGCGTGATCCACCGCCGCTTTACTGTGGAAAATTGCCAACCTTTTCCTCCGGAACCCGGGGGTCGCCCCCCCCCCCCCCCACCCCCCCCCTCCGAAAATCCTCCCCCCCCTGCCTCCCCCCCCCCCCTGGAACCCCCCTCCCCCCCCCCCCCATCCCCTCCTTCCCCCCCCCTTTTGGCCAAAACCCCCCCCTCCCCTAACCCCTCCCCCCCCCCCCCCCCCCCTCCCCCTCCCCCACCCCTCGAAAACCACAAAACCGGGGGGGGGCTACTACCGGTTCGAACCCCTCCCCTCCCCCCCCCCCCCCCCCCCCCCCCCCCACCCCCCCCCCCCCCCCACCCCCCCCCCCCCCACCCCCCCCCCCCCCCCCCCCCCCCCCCCCCCCCCCTCCGGATCCGGAAAACCGGGGGGGTCACTACGGTTCGAACCCCCCCCCCCCCCCCCCCCCCCCCCCCCCCCCCCCCCCCCCCCCCCCCCCCCCCCCCCCCCCCTACTCACCGCCAGCAAACGACTCCCGGTCCCCACCACCGTCCGCATCACATCCCCCACTGGTGTTCCCAGCACCACTGTCCTCACCACCGCTGTCCCCACTGGTTCCACCACCGCCCCTACTGTCCCCACCAGTGGCCCCACCACTGTCGCACTGTCCCCGCTGTCCCCAGAACTGTTCCCACCACGGTTCCACTCTCCCCACTGTCTCCACGGCCCCAACCACTGCCCGACTATCCCTACTGTCCCCACTGTCCCACTGACTCCTCCGCTGTCCCACTGAGCTGTCCCACTGTTCCCACCACTGTCCCCACTGTCCCCACCACTGTCCCCACTGTACCTCTGTCCCATTGTCCCACCGCCGTCCTCGCCACCGCCTTCACCACTGTCCCCACCACCATTGTACCCTCCACTGTCCCACTGTTTCCACCTCATTCCCATTGTCCCCACACCACTGTCCCCACCACCACCGTCACCACCACTGTCCACTGTCCCCCCCTGTTCCCACCATTGTCCCCACCACTGTCCCCACCACTACCGTCCCCACCACTGTCCCACTGTCCCACTGTCCCCACCACTGTCCCGCTATCCCCTCACCACTGTCCCCACCAACACCGTCCCCACCACTGTCCGCACCCCCACTCGGTTTTCGAGGGGGGGGGGGGGGGGTTCGAACCGGTAGTGACCCCCCCCGGTTTTCGGATCCGGAGGGGGGGGGGGAAGGGGTTCGAACCGGTAGTGACCCCCCCCCCTTTTCATGATGAGCTGGGGGGGGGGGGGGGAGGGGTTCGAACCGGTAGTGACCCCCCCCGGTTTTCCGGAGGGGGGGGGGAGGGGTTCGAACCGGTAGTGACCCCCCCCGGTTTTCCGCCAGCAGCGGTAGAACACGCTCTTTCCGATATTCCGACACGCCCCTCTCCCCCTTCCCCAGAGATCCGATGTCTCGATTTGCTCAATACGGGGTCCTCGGAAGTCTCGACCCGTTTCCCAGGACCAGTTCTTCATCCCGAGCTTGTGTTTCGTAGGTCCGGTGGTCTGGCGAGGGTCCGGAGAGGCCGAACATTGAGAAGCACCTTCGTCTTTGAGTTTTTTGTCATCCTCCTTCTTCTCCCCTTCCTCTTGTCCAGTGGCCGCGTTTGTTTTCCACTCGAGGTAGATACGCGTTGATGCTGAGCCCTCAAGGCTGCTTGGTACAGGCCCCCGGGGTCGTCATGAGCCCACGGCGTTGTGACAACCGATTTACCTTTCACCTGGCACGCGCACGACTGTGCCAGCGGACGTCCGAAAGAAAGAAAGATCTCCGGGCTCTCCCTCCTCTTCGCCCCCGCTCCAGGCCCGGGGGGCCCCGCGTGGGCGGAGCCGGAGTGCCGACACCTTGGCCGCGCAGGCCTCGGGGGGTCTTCGCCACCGCCGCGGGCGGGGGGTTTTGGGCCCGTTCCTGTTTTTGTTGTTGTTGTTGTTGTTGTAATATGTATGTATGTATGTATGTCTGTCTGTCTGTCTGTCTGTCTGTCTGTCTGTCTGTCTGTCTGTCTGTATGTATGTATGTATGTATGTATGTATGTATGTATGTATGTATGTCTGTGTGTGTCTGTATGTATGTATGTATGTATGCATGCATGCATGCATGTATGTATGTATGTATGTATGTATGTATGTGTGTATGTATGTATGTATGTATGTATGTATGTATGTATGTATGTATGTATGTATGTATGATGTATGTATGTATGTATGTATGTGTGTATGTATGTATGTATGTATGTATGTATGTATGTATGTATAGTACGTTACGTACGTATGTATGTATGTATGTATGTATGTGTGTATGTGAGTATGATGTATGTATGTATGTATGTATGTATGTATGTATGTATTATGTATGTATGTATGTGTATGTATGTATGTATGTATGTATGTGTATATATATATGTGTGTATGCATGTATGTATGTATATATCTATATATATATATGTATGGAGGGGGGGAGCGGGATGGGGATGCCGAGGAGGCCGGTGAGGCAGGGGGCGACCCCGGGCCCCCTCGCGCTGTGAGCAAAGTCGCAGCGGGAGGTCTCACTCTGGGGCAGCGATAGGGGCGGATGGGCACAGCGGGGATGCATCGACCCCCAATCGCCCATGGATCGCGGACAGGGGTCCGATAGAGTCCCAACCCGCCCAGGAAGGTGCGGATCCACCATCGGGGGCCTATATCGTCGATCTATCAGCGATGTAGCGCTGCTTCCAGGTCGATGCATCCCCCCCTGTGCCAGTCCCCCCCCCGCACCTTGTTGCCCCCCACTTGCTCCCTATCTTGTCGGCCTCCAGGGACCCTTCTGCGGGGCCCCGGGGCCGTCCAGAGCGCGACTCGGGAACCGGTCCCAGGGAGCGGGTCCAGACCTCTGGGGGTCGGCGCTGCGACAAAAGATTACGACGTCTCGACATCCAGGCGCCTTTACTGGGCCTCGGGAGCGTCAAAACCGACTCGGGAGAGCGAAATGGGTACGTGCAACGTCCAACATCAGTTCCAGTTCATTTTTAACTGGACTCGCTGTCCGCGCCGCCGCGGCCCGTGTCCAATTGAGGCAGAAGGCCGCCTGCTCAACAGCGGCCGCTGTCGGTTCTTAGACAGCAGTTGTTGTTGGGCATGTGCCCATTTTTCCGTATCTATTTCGGGCATCCACAAGGTGATCGTTTTTGATTTTTTGTTTTGCCGATCGGCGCGGGCCCTCGCATCCCCCTTCACCCTCCCCCCTGTGGAGTAGATCTTGGCTGATTTGGGGCGCCTGTTCCGAGCGGGTGGAGTCTGCCCCTCAGAGGCTCTTGCGAACAGTCGCACTAAGCAGCGGTCTGGAGCCAGACCCCCCCCCCCTTCCGCCCACTGTCGAAGCGCCGAATAGCAAAACGCTCCTGGGGAACGGGTCGAGACCTTCAGGGGGGGTCGACGTTGTGAACAAAAGCTCGACGTCGGGGGCCTGGGCCTGGCGAGAAGAGCGCGCGGGGAGCTGGCCGGAAAATCGAAGGCTCTCAAGTTTCGACGCTTCCAGGTGTTCGAGCTCGACGCTTCCGCTGGCACGACGCTTTCGGGTTGCGAGCTCCGAGGTTTCGAGCTTTCGGGGTGCTCAGGCTCCGAGTTTGCGAGGTTTCGAGGCCTCGAGGCGTTCGGGTTCGACGTCTTCGCAGGTGTGCTCGCCGGGGCATCGGCGGGTTTCCGGGAGACCGCTTCCTGTGTGGTCCGGCGATCGCCCGGACCGTCGGGCCCGTCCGCCCTCCCCCGTCGGGAGATTCCCCAGAGAGCCGACGTCGTGATCTTTTCACTGCGGGGCCGCCAGAAGTCTCGGCCCCTTCGCCAGGACTGGCTTTCCGTTCCGAGTCGTTTTCTGTCGGCCCTCGGGGCCCAGCGAGGGCCCCGAGGGGCCGGACACTGAGAAAGACCTTCGTCCTGGTTTTTTCAACCTGTTGGATCTCTGGGTCTGCCCATGTCGGCCGCCCAGGTCCGAAGCATGCTGGTGCGCGCGGGCACACGCGGGGCCTTCCCGGCGCGAAAAGGTTGGAGGTTGTCGGCCGGCAACTCCCCCCCCCCCACCCCTCCAACGGCTGACCAGCCTCGGGATGCTCTTCAGCAGCCTCGGGATGTGTCTGAAAAGAAAGAAAAATGGATGTCGGGATGTGTCGGGATGCTCTTCAGCAGCCTCGGGATGTGTGGCGGACCAGCCTCGGGATGCTCCGACGGCGGACCAGCCTCGGGATGTGTCTGAAAAGGAAGAAATTGATGTCCAGCCTCGGGATGCTCTTCAGCAGCGGAGCCTCGCCGAGGGCGTTCCAGAAGGGCCGGGGTCGTCCCGCACGGGCACTCGAGGGCCGAGCTCTGGCCCGAAGGTCAGGGGGCAACGTTGGGGCGAGGTAGGCTCAGGGGGGGACGCATCTTCCCCCAAAGGTCCATCTGTCGCCGATATCAAAGAAGAAACGCCCGCGCCGGGGGCGGCGCCGGAGGCGCCGCCGGGGGGGCCCAGCGCGGATCCAAGAAATCCGCGCGGAGCGCCAAAAGTTTATGTTTATAGCGTGTTTTTCGTTTGTTTGTTTGTTTGTTTGTTTGTTTGTTTGTTTGTTTTCGATAGGGGCATGATAGTCCGCCCCGCCCAAGACCGTGGCGGTTCGCTATCGAGGGCCTGTCGCAGGTCTTTCGGCGATGGATCCCCGCTTTTCCAGGTCGATGTCTCCGCCCCCGAGCCAGTCCGTCCCCGTCGTTGCCTGTCACGCCGGAGGAGGAGGAGGAGGAGGAGGAGGAGGAGGAGGAGGAGGGGGGGGAGGAGGAGGAGGAGGAGGGGGACAGGAGGAAAGGAGGAAGGAGGAGGAGGAGGAGGAGGAGGAGGAGGAGGAGGAGGAGGAGGAGGAGGAGGAGGAGGAGGAGGAGGTGGCGGGGATGCGGGGGTGGGGGATCCCAAACCCCCTCGAATCGCGAGCACAATCGCGACGGAAGGTTTTTGGCAGCTTGGGATGATGTAGGCCTCCCAGGATGGGGTCGGAGTAGTTGGATGGGGTCGGAGGATCGCGCCGCAACGCCGATGCATCGCCGATGCGGCTCGATGTGGAGCCCGTCCCCACACCGACGTCGCCGATGCATCGCCAACGTCGCTGATGCATCGCCGATGCATCGGCGATGCAGTGCAATCCTCCGACCCCATCTACTCGGACCCCATCTAGGAGGCCTCTAGATGAGAAGCTGGTCTTGGAGAACGGGCCCTGGCCTCAGCTGGAGAGGGGGGCGAGGAGGAGGAGGAGGAACAGGATGAGGAGGAGGAGGAGGAGGAGGGGGAGGAGGAGGAGGAGGAGGAGGAGGAGGAGGAGGAGGAGAGGAAGGATGAGGAGGAGTAGGAGGAGGAGGAGGAGGAGGAGGAGGAGGACCAGTGTAAACCCAAAGGTCATCAACGATGTTGGCATAAACCCTCCCTCCAAGCTCCCTCTTCAGAGGCCCCAGCAAGGGTTCATTTCAACTGAGGGAACTGCGTCGTTGAAAGACAACCGTTAGAAGACCCTGAAGCATGCCAAAACATTATTCTCGGGACTTCAACGCCACGAATCAGCCTGACTGTGCGTCTTGACGATCCTGAAGCATGCCAGCATGCCAGTCCTGGGACTTCAGCACCGCGAGTCAACGTAACTGTTGCACTCTCATCATCTGGAATCTTCCCAAAGCACCATTTTCTGATACGTGGACCATGGAAAACAGTGAACTTCTGGAGTTTTTAGATTACTCTTTAGAAATAATAGGTTCTTGTATCTCTCTCTCTCTCTCTCTTTTTCTTTATACGTGTATATAAACAAATGAATGTGCGCGGCGCTGAGGCGAGAGCCACATTTTGAAAAGGAGCCGCCCTCCATCGGTGAAGCTGTTGCCAATATTTGCCAATTTGTAGCTTCAGGTTCATAAGTAGTGAGGAAGTCTCAAGCGAAACGCCGGGCCCGCCCTTTCGATCGGCCTCAGGGTTCGACAGGGAGAAGTTATAGATAAGGAAAAGGAATGGAGGAGGAGGAGGAGGAGGGAGAGGAGGAGGAGGAGGAGGAGGAGGAGGAGGGAGGAGAGGAGGAGGAGGAGGAGGAGGAGGAGGAGGAGGAGGAGGAGGAGGAGGAGGGAGGAGGAGGAGGAGGAGGAGGAGGAGGAGGAGGAGGAGGAGGAGGAGGAGGAGGAGGAGGAGGGCGGCGCGGGGGCAAGGGAGGAAGGGCGGGGTAGAGGCTTGGCATCGCTCGGACGTGTGATTTTTTTTTTGTTCGGCGAGGCCAGCGCCATAAAATTTGGACCTTTTTGGAACATGTTTGTACCATCCTGAGAAAACACACACACGTACACGCGCTCGCGTGAAACCAGACAACGCACGGGGAATGGACGTCCCAACGATGGCAAGGAGGAGGGTGAGGGTGAAGGCTAGGAGGCTCGGAAGTTTTCGGGGGGGGGGGCTGTCACCACGAGGGGAGAGGGGGCAGCACCGGCCTCGCCAGGATATAATGGCGGGGGTCGGGGTGGAGCGCCTGCTTCGCTGCTTCGCCAGGGGGGGACGGGGAGGAGTGGACGGGGGAGGGAAGGAAGGTGGATCGCCAACATCACAGCACCTGTCGACGAAGCAAGACGGCATGTTTATAAGCTTGGGGAGGTCCGAACGAATTTCGCGGATCTGCGCTGGCCCCCCCCAGCGGCGTCTCCGGCGCTGCCGCTGGCACGCTCCGAGCGCCAGGGAAGGGGGTCCATCGCCGATCCAAGACATCCGCGCACCCTGACCAGCATGCCGTGATTTTCTTTCGCCAGCGTGGTGGCAGATGCGGGGTCCGGGGCGGTGGG